CCTCACGAAGTGTTTGGTTGTAATCCGTCTTGAACTCTTGAAGTAGCGCCTCGAACTCGGACTGGTTGAGGTTCTTGTTGATTTCGGTGTTAAAAAGGGTCTCCATCTCGTCGAAGTCGGTGGTGTAGAACCTCGGCGTCAGAAGGGTCTCTTTGATTGATGTTTCGTCGAAGATTGGAGTGTTTGAACTGAACTTGGAGATAGACTTTACGAGTGCCATTTCAGTTGCCATTTTTGGTGGAGACGGTGAAGACAGAAGCTAGGATGTTGAAGGAGAAGGTGTTTGAGTTATAGGCGAGGGACAATTGATTGAATCTCTCATCCAACGAAATATGGGTCTGTGAATCAAATACTGACACGTGTGATCTCCATTATCACATTATCAGCAAAATGCTACTTTAATTTTCAGCTCTACGAATTTCACCAAAACCCCACCATTGGTTGACAAAATTTTGGATATTTAATCTGGTATAGTTGAGACAACCTTTGATGTATATTATCCATACATTATTATTGTTGCAGATAATTTTATTTTCATGACCCAGATTTTTATGGCCAAAACAATGAAATAATCAAATAATATCCATATATATATATATATATATATATATAAACTTGATTCAATACCAAGATAATAAAAGTTTTCCTTTATATAAGAAAATTTATTATTTTATATGCCGTACCCTTACCGTCCCCGTACCCCGTAATTTTAAAAATTACCGTTTTCTGTCCCTGTCCCCGTATCCGTTCCCGTATCCATATCGGTGCAACATAGATTGAAACTTCACTCAGTTTCTCAACGAAGAGTTGAAAAGCAAGTTTGATCAAATTACAATACAAGGTTTGAACATAATCCTTATTCAAAGGGTAGAAAAAGCAGACACAGGAATCAAGCTTTCAGTTACAGAGTCAACCCTGAACCGTTCATTTTGTGCAATGTTATCTGATCCAATCGCTTGGCCATTTCTGGTGTCAAGTAATTCACCCAGTCCCCAACCATCCCTTTCCGAAATACAACTTGTTTTCAATCATTCCATCGCGATGTATCCCACTTTTATTCGCTTCCAGGTTGCTTAAATGATCAAAACTGCACATCTCCACTATCTTCTCAGGCATCCCTTTTCGTTGTTCTTCCGACGAGAAAGGGTGACCGATAAACGTCGCCAATTTCGTGACATACAAAACAGTATCTTCCATCAGTTCTTCGTACTTGAAGAACAAAAATCTCTCCGGATGTTCCAAACTTGCTTTCCAATACCCCAAAACATGGTCCCAATAAGGTCCATAGTAAGACGCACCTTCACAAAACAACTCAAATGCCTCATCAAGATTAAGAGTTTGAATGTTAACGGATTCGCGTACCTGGCAATGAAATGATATAACGAAACAAAGTATCTTTGGGGTCCCTGCAAATGTAAACAATTTTACAACCAGAATCGATTATTGATTGGGGTAATAAAGAATGCGGAACATGTGTGGCCAGTAGAGGAACTCCAAGTTCTCGATGAGTGCAGAAACGGGCATGATCGAACTCCATAAAAGGCACAACATCATGGGGCATCTTGGAAAGCAAAGGGCTGGTGGAATCATCGAATGAAGTTCTCGTCATGGTGGCAAAAATGAGGGATTTCAACCAGGTTGTGCCAGTTTTCGGGGCACTGCAAACAATGATATCAGCAGGTTGAGCCTGAAATTGTTGTTGAGCTGACAGGATTCCCGGTAACATAAATGGGTAGATCCACAAGCCTTGGAACAGAACAAGATCTTCATTACCACCCCAGCCGTTCCTTTTGGGGAGAGAAGGTATCATCTCCAATGATTTCTGAAACTCATCTTCATTTCCTTTCTCAGTATATTTACTTAAGTTGGATTCCATGAAGGGAAAGCCAATGGGAGCAAATGTTATGGAACAGTGGCTATATAGACATAAAACTATTATAACGTCAGGTCATGTCACTATTTCGCATAATATTTAAAGGTTGGTGACTTGTTTGTAATAATTTTTTAATTGAGGTGAATAATATATTAAAACATAAAAGTGGTCCACTTAGTACCAAACACATGATTGTGTGACATTATATATATTTTACCCTTAATATTTAATCAAGCATACATATTTAATAAGTTAAATTATATATATTAAACATACATATCTTACATACACATCTGTTTGAATCTCAATCATTTAAGAAAAAGAATATTTTTTACTACTAACACCACCAAATGAATCCTCTATAAGCATTTATTAGAATATGCTCATTGTTATTCTTTGAAAAGTTAAATTAAATTTTTAAATATAATATTAATTGATGTTTTATAGAAAAAATAACTCATATGCAATAGAGATTAGAGATAACGATTCCATCATTTAATAAGTTAATTTATAGTCACAATTAAATTATTATAGAAAACGATACAAAATAAGTAGAGTATAGGAACCATCGTATGAACCATGTTCTTATAAAAATAAAATAAAATAAAACCGGGCCGGTTCTCAATGTAGTAGGTGAACGATCGTTTTCTATATTACCACGAGTCTATATTAAATACCAAATTAGCCGCCATTAATTATATTTCTTTAACAATTAAAAAATATTAAAACATAAAGATTCCCTATAATTGTCTGTTAATCCAATTTTCAAAGAGGTAGTTAGGGCCTAGAGGTTGACTGTTTCGGGATGTTAGAAACTGAACATGTGGTGGCCATTGTGGATGTGGTAGCTAACATGTTTAAAAAATTTTAATTAATATTCAAACCACATTTAACAATAAGTCGTTGTAGTATAGTGGTGAGTATTCCCGCCTGTCACGCGGGTGACCCGGGTTCGATCCCCGGCAACGGCGTTTTTTTGTTTTTTTAGCGTTACGTGCAAATTTAAAAAATGGGGCAAATTTTGTTGTTCTTCGAAGTTGAATTCAGGGAAGTAGGGTTTGCCGAGACTGGAACGTGTAATTAAATAGTTAAAAATCCAATTATATCTCTTTATAAAGAAATAGTAAAATAGAGCTAAAATCAATTTTAACATCCTTTCTGGCAAATTTTAATAACTTTTGTTTGGTTCAAATAAATTATTGATTTGGTTTAAAGTTAGAATTTTTTTTATTTAAAAAATATATTATTTGCATTCTTAAGATAAGATAAATTACTTGATTTACTACTCAACTTTCTTCTCACTCCTAATTTAACCATTCAAGTTAAAAAATTAATTTAATAATTAAATTTTGCACATTGAATTTTTTTACTCCATTTTCTTACTAAAAGCAGGATGTTACTTATTTTATTAATATATAATAATAAAAATAAATCCCCTAAATTATATTCTCAAACCCTAATCTAAAAACTTCTAACCATAAACCACCATGAACTTCTCCCTCCGCCTTTCTCAAACCCTCATCGTCATCCTCTCCCCCTCTCCAAAACCCTTACAATCTCTCCTTCCCATCCCTCAAACCTTCACTGTATCATATTTCCCTTCTCCTCTCTTAATTTCCCATCGACATCCCTTCCCCCTCTCTCAAACTCCTATTGTCTCTCTTTCTCTCCCTTAAACCTCACTGACACCCCTCCCCCATTTTCTCACTCTCATTGTATCCGTCTCTCCCTCTCTAAAACTTCATTGATGCCTCTCTCTCCCTCCCCTGAATCCTCACCGTCTCCTCCTCCCTTTCCTTAAATCCCCATCGACATCACCCTCTCATGAGAAACGTGGTTCATAGATTGAAGGGGTTATGTTTGAAAAGAAGAAGGTGAGTTCATTTTGGGGTGGGGGAGATGGGTCTGGAGCCATGATAATTTAAAACTCGAAATCATGGGAAAATCCATGGTGATTTGAAGAAGCATTGATGATAGTTATGGTGATTTGAGAGGAAAAAGTTTTTTTAAAGTGAAAATGAGAGAAAATTTTGGAGGAAATATTTATTTATATTTTAACTGAACAAACACCACATCATAACACCGTCAGTGACTTTAACAGTAGAATGATCAAATTATTAAATTAAAATTAAAATTTTAATTATTAATTTTTTTTTTTAAATTTAAGTGATCAAAATAAGAAAAATAAGAAAATCGAGTGACGAGTTTAATAATTTACCCTTAAGACATTGGTTTTTCTGGACTTTGCATGTGTGTGTATATGCGTTTACCTTTTTATTTATAAATATTATAAAAATTGAAGAATCCTAAATAATAATTATTTTTATTTAATACATGTATGTTCGACACTCATTTCATGATATATATTTAGAAGTATATCGATCCCCGGCAACGGCGTTAACTTTTTATTTTTGAGAGTTACGTGCAAATTAAAAGAGTGGGCCTTACACCACCACTAGGATGCTTCCAACAAGAAGATGCCTCTTCTGTCTCTTGTGTTTTTCCTTTTCGTGGGAACCAAATCATGCTTTGCTGGATTTTCCATGTCCATGTCCATGTCCATGTCCTGCATTGCTCGAATACAAGGAAACAGGGTGGGAGTTTTCCATTATTAGATCACAAGGAGCATGCACATCAAAACACACCAAGCAGAACAATGCTCCAAATATAGAGTTTAGAGATGATCTTAATATCCATCACACCCATTAGCAAAGGTTTGAATTTTAAGATTATAGATATCAGATTTTAGAATACATAAATATCTTTCATAATTTTTACATTTATATTTCTATAATTATAATGAATTCTTCTTCTTCTTCGACATTATAGAAAGATAACTAAGACTGAATCAGGTTAAATTTTATCTTATTTTGATTCTTTTTCCACAATTCCTAACAATCTGTGATTCAAATTCGGATCTCGACATATGTAGTAAGTAGACCTTCACAAAAGTAAAATAAAATAAAATAAAACCTCAGTCACTATCTGAATAAATTAATTTAGATATAAAGACATCAATTTCTAATGCCATACATAAGCCATATGCCATCAATTCTTTGTAGACTCGGTAATAAATATTATAAATAATATAATGTATCCCTCCTCCAACCTGCACAAGCCTAACAAAATGTTAGCTACCTATGGAAGAAGTCTACTTCGAAGCACCGTTGGACGACTCGGCGGATTTTGCATCAGATGCGTTCAGCTCATCCCACGCTTCGATCCATGTCACCATACCACCGGCAAGCGTGTTGAAGTAGTCGTCGACCTTGCTTAGTTTTGCCTTTACCTGCTTGGAGATTTCGATGTAGCATTGCTGAACCGTGGTGCAGTCCTTAGGAAGGGTAACGGACTGGCAGAACGGGATCAACTCTTCTTGCCAGTAAATTCCTTTGTATTCTTTCTTGAGATTCACGAAGGGGTTGCTGGCTTTGCTGTGCCAAATGTAAGGCAGTCCTGTCTTCACTCCCAATCCGAGGTGGTCGCATATAACCTGTAAACCAAGCAGCTTCAAACATCAGATTTACATACATGACGAACATTTCACCGTCAGGTCTTATGAAAATGCATCCGAAAAAATAATCAATAAACACTTGCACAAGAAGGACCCAATCGCTTACAAACACAGGGAATGCTACGATAAATCAGATAAAATCTAAGTTCTAAGATCAGCTTCAGACAACCAAAACTGATATCAAAAGCAGATAGAACAAGGTATTTTGATTTACCTATGTAATCAACCAAGGATTTAATCACTTCAAACAAACAGATAACGATACATTTCAGAATGTACAATCGAACATGACTAAAACAACAAAAGACTACGAAATTATTAGGAACGGCTACTAATACTTACATTACCATTGTCAAGCAAATGAGCAACGGCTTAAATACATGTTATTTAAAAAAATACAGTCAAATAAGGAAACAATATATGGAAATACCACCAAATTGCATTAAGAGGACATCTTTTTTATATAAAGAAAATCAAGTCACACATCGAGATCGAAACTTCCACACCCAGAACACTAAAAGATAACATCAAGATCCAAAACTTAAATCCCACATGCAAAACAGTAAAAAATAAACAAACCCAATCTCCAATTCCAAGAACCGACTGAAAGCCATATCTCCAAAAGCTCACAAAATCGAAGGAAAAAGAGAGATAAAGATGTGAGTTTGGGGCTTAAAAAGCAGTCATCGTCAATGGTATAAATGTACTTCTTCTTGGAGACCATGTAACCGAAGCATCGACAAGCAGAGTCCTTGAAAGAGATGCAAGAGGACTTGGGGGCCCAGAATCCTGTTGATATCGTTCCTATTGTAAAGCTCGTAATCAAATCCTTGGGGAACTTTGATGGTCTTGGAAGGATCACCGTCTTGAACTATGATGAGATGGTAAGGCTGGAAAAAGGGTCTCCACATCTCCAGAAAGTCCAAGTTCCGAATGGTGGGAATCACTATGTCCAGCTCATCTTTCAACGGCGGAACTGGTGTGATAGTGGACGGTTGTGCCATTTTCGAAAAGCTTGGACTTGGAGAAATGCAATGGAGGGGCGAGTTTGACTGTTTGAGATTATAGAGGATGAAGGAAGAGAAATGGTGTTTCTATGAGAGTCGGATTTATAGTGGGTGGCGCGTTCGAACAAAAAAAAGTGACTTTTAGTAGTAGGAAAACACCTCAACTAGTTCCATGCTATCGTGTTTTTCGGTGTAACGAGATTTGCTAAATTGCTTAAAAGATCCCTTTAAGTTTCTCGTTTTATTTAGACAAGTTTGTTAGAGAAAGTGGAAAAAATTGTTCAGGGATTCTAAGATTTGAAAGTTTGGTGACCAAATTGAATTTTAAAATTGAGTGGCTAAAATTAAAATATAGACAAAGTTGAGCGGTTAAAAGTATAGTTTACCCAACTTTCTTAAAGGTAACTCTCGGTTCCTCCCTTTCGCTAATATGTCAAAGTATTTGGAGCACTCGGAAATTATTAGAATTGGGTATCGGATGGCAGATAGGCTCGAGACATTCTGTTTCAATATGGAACGATAATTGGCTCCCCTCTATTCCTGCTAGTCGTGTTTCTTCTACTAGAGTGGCTCACTTGAACGTTGTTTCTGATCTTCTAGAGCCTAATTCAAGGGGCTGGAATGAGTCATTGGTTCGCTCGATATTCACCATTGATGAAGCAAATTCTATCCTACAAATTCAACTGCCTTTGTACCCTCAACCTGATCTTCTAGTATGGAAGGGAGAAAAGTCCTGCATTTACTCGATACATAATAGTTATAAACTGCTTCTTAACACTACCACACCCCTACTGCCGATTGAAAACATTTATAATTATATTTGGAATTCCACTTGTCCAGAAAAATTAAAGATTCTAGCTTGGAGGCTTACTAAAAATTATGCCCCAACAATGCACAATTTACTTATTAAACGTGTGGTCTCGAATCCTAACTGTCTTTAGTGTCGAACATAGAATGAAGATGCGTTACATGCAAGCCGTGATTGCCCTTTTGCTTGCTCGGTTTGGAACAATTCGGGTTTAGTATGGTCCAATGCTGCTAATCAATTGTGTTTTGATGATTGGCTACTGTGGCTTTTCAAACTTACAACCTCAGACAAACATAGCATGATTATTACTACTCTATGGTTATGGTTTTCTCGAAATAGGTTGGTACATGAAGAAGTTTCACAAAGACCTGAGGAAGCAGCAGTCCTCATCAAGAGTTATTGTGCCGAATTCAGAAACCTTATCTGATCGACAAGCATTCCTTCCTCTATTGAGACAGAACATTGGACCCTTCCACCACCTCTGATCTTTAAGGTTAATGCTGATGCAGGATTCAAATCATCAGAATATCGGTCTGGTTCAGGCGTTGTGATAAGAGATGCTGAAGGTCATATCATCGGATCCTGCCACAAAATCAGTAACCATGTTCATACGGCTTTTGCTGCTGAAGCTACAGCTTTACTCCGGGGGTTGGAATTTGCGAGTGAATCGGCCTCCATTCGGTGGTAGTGGAAAGTGATTCCAAAACTCTAATTAACAAATTGAATTCAAAGAATTTGGACTTTTCAGAGATAGGACCAATCACCCGCGATATCCAGACATTGGCGAGGACCTTCACTCTTTGTTCCTTTCAGTTCTGTGCCAGGAGCTGTAATAAGGCAGCGCATGCAATGGCGGCGGAAGGATTTAATCGTTTAGCTGATTATTTTTGGGGTAGAAGATGCTCCGATTGCCGTTCGACTTATAGCTGCCGATGACAGGCGATTTCTTGATCCACCGTAGACTTATTGGATCATCTTGTTTGGGGATTCACTTCTTCATTGCTGCTGTGCGCATCCCCATTTTTTCTTCTATCATGGTCCTTCACCGTTCATTCTCTCATGCAAGATGGTTGTGTTACTTGTTTTTATCCTTTACAGGTCCCTTTTTTATTTTATTGTTTTGTTGCCTCTCTTTTATTTAAGAAACTATGTATTGTTTCTTTGTCTAATAAAACACAGCCGACTTTTAATCAAAAAAAATTATAGAAATATATTAATGTAAAAATAATTTTAATAGTTTAATATTAAATAATAAATATAATTTTAATGGAATTTATCGCAATCGGAACATAACAAGCAATATATAGACTAAAACGAGATTCCTGAATAGAATGCTATGAACTTGTTTGATATTCTACAAACAAAAGCAGCTGACTCCAAAAAAAGAAATGGCGTAAATTACAATCATGACACATAAATAATACACCAAATGCTAATGGGGACCAGAGATTGTGCACCTTCATCCATTTTTTAGCGTGTTATGTTGCTGCACCAAACTACTCGAACCCCATCGACCCGGTCATTAAAAGCTTCAGCACGATAATACGAAATCAGATGCGAATTGGACGTCAAACGTCGAAGGAATAGCCTTAGTGGTTTCGCAGACGGTATTCATCACATACACGCCAATAAGAAAACACATGATGCCAAGATTGTCACGACTGGATGAAGTAGACAGATAACTGGCCTAAAACCGGTATTTGGCAACCATGGGTACGCATCAGGAGGAGGCATGACACAGTTATCACCGTTGAAATAAATCCTCCGTGGAAAAGCCCATCCCTATTCGAAATTGAAGGTTGATGCATCTTTTCGGAATAATAGTTCCGATTGCACATTCCCAAGAGGACCGGCTTCATTGAGGAAATCATTGTAGAACTTTAAGTCCCCATAACATTGCAGTATCATCTGCATAAGAAAAGTTTATTCTAGTCACACAGATTCTGGGAAATGAAATGATTCTACTGAAAGGAAATTATTATTGGCGAACTTAGACTTACTTAAGCCAGCATAAGGAGTTAATGGTTTGTAATTGAAGCTGAAAAGTTGAGTAAGATTGTCAAAGTTGGGGTGTTGCACAACAAGATTCCACTGCGAATAATTCGATGCATAATTGAAATTGGTGATCGTGATCTTCACACGCCAGTATTCCTTGTAGTTGAGCTTAACATGCCAGTGAATTCGAACTGGACACATATGGCTTGTACACTGAAGCAGAGGTGTGGTAGATTTGCCTAGACCCGGAACAGCTGAAGCTAAATGTGAAGACCTTTCACTGCAAGGTTCCATCACCGAAGAAAATAAATACAACTGCAAAATGTAAAAGGACAATTAGAGGGGGGGAAAGACAGAAAAATGTGAAAAGTTACCTTACACAACTCCCGGGTCGGTTGCGTTATTACAGCCACAAGCACATGTTGGGCAGCTCACAATGGTGTCATTATAGAAGGAAGAGAGCGAGACGCAACATGTAGGTGTCTTTTGAGCCAGGAATTGCGAATATGTGCATGTAACATTCCATGTCACTGCAATTATACGCAAGTTAAGATAACCTTAAGATACAAGTTCATTCCTCCATGCTGAATTATTAATAAATATAACTTTATTCTCAAGCTTCAGTAATGATGTCCAATAAGTTTTTATATAAATTCATACACACAACATAACATCGTATAAGTTGTTTTGCAGCAGAAATAGAAGTGAAGCATGCAAGTAATTATATAGATATGATTGAAATGAGAATTAGTAATGTGTTGCTTGATGAAAAATCTGAAAAATAAGCCAAAAAAAGGGACGTATCTGATTTGATTACTACAAAGTAGAACTTGAGCTTAGCAAGTAACTTACTCATAGTTGTGTTATTCTCCTTTTATCCGCCGTTATGAATTTAGTTGGTTTCACAATCTTTGCAGGTCCACAAGTATATCCCGGACCTGGAGCTTTCAGGGTAAAGTTTCTAGTCACTCTGAAATGAGCTTGCTGCAGCGCCAACACTAACCGAAAACGGAAAACACAAAAAGCAATGATTGATTATTCTTTAGGCAGTTGTATACAATATATACGTACGTATGTACCTATAAGCGGGTGCGATCATACCAGCACTAATGCACCGGATCCCATCAAAACTCCGCAGTTAAGTGTGCTTGGCCGAGAGTAGTATTAGGATAAGTGACCTCCTGGGAAGTCCTCGTGTTGCACCCTTCCTTTTTCTGCCGGAGGTCTTCCACGGAAGTTGCTTTCAACCTGACGTTGGGGGCAGCCTACTACTCTACCTCCTCTTACCCCATTGCATATGGGAATAGAGTTTTGTTGTTTGTTGTTGTTGTTGTTGTATGTACCTATAAGCGGCATCTTTTGAAGAACTTTAAATTGGATCTAACAGAGAAAACAGTAAAAAGAATGCTTTGATCTTTAGACTTCTGGTAGAAAGTTAATGCTCATTTTCGATTTTGAAGTTAAGTCATTAGCCTTTTATAATGCAACAAAAAAGAGTGCCTCAGTATCACTTACAACATAGTCATCTGGGGTCCAGCTTATTATGTCCCGTTTGATAGTGATATTGCCGGTTGGATCGAGTGCATCATAAGCTTCTGCAGAAAGAACCCAAGAAAAGATCTCGAAACTTTAAATTACAAGATATTCATCAAGGCATTGAATTTAAAACGAAAACCATTGATGATTTAGATCTGGAACTGGATCAAAATCCAAAATCAACATGAAAATAGTAGAAGTTTGCCCATTCGGTCTTGTCCCCGATATCGACCCTTGGTCTGTCAAGGATTACAGAAAGAATGGACACGTATAAGATCCAAATAAGTGAAATGCTTAGATAGCCTAATGGGAAAAATGTAAAGCAGTTTCATAATTCCATGTGCTATGATTGTTATGATGGTGACTTCGATTCTAAAC